GCCTTGGCATATGTTTTCATCCTTCTTGAGTTTATACATAGGAGTAGAATTGCTGGATCATATGGAAATATTTACATGTAGAGGAACTGGTTGCTGTGAGTTGGAATTGACTTCATGACATTGGGTTTGGGTTGGGTTGGCCAGACTGTATTCCAGAGTGACTCTATCATTTTACATTTCCACTTGCTGTGTATGAAGGTTCTACTTTCTCCGTATTATTGCCAACACTTTCTGCCTTTAATTAGAGCTGTAATTAAAATGGTATCTCATAGTGGTTTTGATTTACATTTCTCTTGTGACTAATGATGTTGAATATCTTTGTATGTTCTTATTGGCTTTTTGTCTATCTTTGGTGAATTGTCTATTCAGATCCTTTGCCATGTTTTATTTTGATTATTTGTCTGTTTAGATAAATTCATAAGAGTTCATTATATATTTTACAACTTTTCTCCTGTTTTGTGAGTTCTCTTTTCATTTCCTTGATGATGTCCTTTGAGGCCCAAAATTATTAATTTTGATGATATCTACTTTATTATTTTCTTCTGTTGCTTGTGCATTTGGTGTAATTCCTAAGACTTTATTGTCAAATATAAGCCATGAAGATTAACCCCTATGTGTGTGTGTTTTTTTTCCTCCTGAGTTTTATAATTTTGATGTTGAGATCTTTGATCCATTTTGAGTTAATTTTTGTATAAGATTTGAGTAAGGAGTCCAACTTCAGTCTGTAATTGTTCCAGCACCATTAGTTGAAAAGATTATTCATTTCCCCCTTCAAGGGTTTTGGCATCCTTGTCAAAAATTAGTTGACCATCGTTGCATGGCTTTATTTTTGGACTCTCAATTTAATTCTGTTAATTGATATAGTCTATCCTTAGACCATCCATACTGCTCTTTTTGTCATGAATTTTAAAGCTGGGAAATAGGAATCCTCCAACTTTGTTCATGTTTATCAAGACTGTTTTGACTAGTTTGGGTCCCTTGCATTTCATATGAATTTAGTATCAGATTGTCAGTTTCATCATAGAAGTCAACTGGGTTTTTAATGGGGATTGTGTTGAATCAATTTGAAGAGCATTGCCATCTTAGCAATATTAAGACTTCCAGTCCATGAACATGGGATGTCCATTTTCATATTCTTATACTACTAGCTTTGGTAGTCTAGTCCTTCTAGGTACAGGTTTTTAACTTAGATAAGCCATATTTTACTAGTTAGCACTAATAAGCCTTGCTTCTAGTAGAATTCAGGTCCTCATGCCTACATTATCAGGCATCGTATAAAGATTTTAACTTTTGCTCTTAATTAAAGGTGACTTGAGTTGATATCAAACAGATCATACCTGGAAATTATGCAAGGAGAATAGTACAAGTAAAACCTCCTTTATAGTTTTCATATACACCTTCAGATAAAAAGTGGCATGGTTTGTTTCCTAAAATTATCATTTTTATTTTAAGTATATTTGGTGCAGGAATTGGGGAGGAGATTGCTTTAAGCAGACATTCAGTCTTAGTACTCAGAGGTGAGGATGCTCATTAGAAAGTAATGGGAGATAAGTTTAAATGGCTGAAGTCCTTCAAAATTGCAAATTTAATTCCTAAAATAATGAATTGGTCATTTTTCTGAATATTTTGTGTTCTGATTAGTGATTTATATTTGGGCTTTTCAATGTGAAAATTTGAGCCATATTGCTTTGCTGCTTAGTTAATTGTTTCTAAATTTTAATGTAGAAACAATTCAAGTGTATTGCAGATATGTCATTAATATCTAACACAGGAAGGTATGGAAATGGAGGTGGAAATATTTGTCATTCAGGATTGTATAAAATATGTTAGCATGTGAACATTGAAGTAGCCTTTGATACTCTTTATCCCCTATTATAACTGAATTGGCAAGAGAAGATGACCAGTATGACATGAGACAAAGTATATGTGAACTGCTGTATGGAAAGTGAATTTGCTCTGTAAATCCTCACCCAAATCACAATTTAAAAAAAAAAAAAAGAAAAAGAGAGAGAAGATGACCATTGCTTCGGGTCTAATACTGGACAGGCTCTTTAACCCTGCAAGTCTACTCATGATTTTTGTAGGTACATTGTTTGTGGCCTGTGTGTTGAAATGCTCACTTAAGCCATCTCATTTTCTATTCTAGACCTATCCTCCATTTTCTTGGCTCTGATCCTATCATTTGTTGTTTTTCTTTATGGTCTCATACCATTCTTTGGATTTAATTCTTGGAAAAACTTTACCAACATTTAATATCAATTCTTGGTCAGGATTCATATGTGCTTACTTGAATGTGATGATTCTGCCTCTCCCCAAAATACTTTTGTAGTTTAGCCCAGCTTCTTGGACCTTACATTGTGGGGCATAAACCATTGCTGCTCTTGCCCTGCTGAGTCTGCCCTCCTCCCAAGTTCAGGAATTAAACCCTAAGGTGAAGCAGCAGCAAGAAAAAAGAATAACAAAATGTCAGAAAGGTGGCAGTGAGGGGCACAAAGAATGACATTGCTAACTGAAGATGTGGGTGATGCTGGATTTCTGGGTAGACTTGAGGCTTGGATGTCAAACCAGGTATTTGGTGTGGTGCTGTCTTCTTGCATTTATGTTTCTCTGGAATAGAGGAGCTTTGGTGGCATAGTGGATAAGGCACTTGACTGCTAACTGGAAGGTCAGTGATTCAAACCCACCAGCTGCTCTGCAGAAGGAAGACTGGGTGATCTAAGATCTTACATAAAGATTTTCAGCTTTGGAAACCCAATGGGGGTTGCTGTGAGTTGGAAACAACTTGATGGCAATGAGTTTGGTTTTTTTTTGGGAGAGGTAGGGGTGGATAAATGGTCTTCTCAGGCTTGTAATAGACTTGTGCCAGTGATGTAATAATAATGATTATAGCAGAAGCACCAGAGGCAGCTGTTGGCAGTATATATGGTGGGGCTTTCAGCATGGTTAGTTTGACTAAGTATTACACAAGGCCACATGAGGTTTGTCGTCTGTGACAGAGGACTTTAGTGCATTGGTAATGAAGAAGCTGCTCATCACTGACTATTCTGATCTCTTAGAGAGTGTAAAGAAAGTCAGTAAGTAAATGCCTCTTATGTTGTTAAATGTGCTTGAATAGAATTATTCAGACATTTTTGGGCACAGTGTTCCAGCTTCTGTCAGCTTCATCAAAGGCTTGAAGTAGAGCAAGTGATGTATAATATCCAGACATGAACATTTTATTTTCCTGTTTGATAAACACCAGTTTGTGTTTGATTGTCTGCCTTTTCTAAAACTGTTGTTGTTGTTGTTATGTGCCGTCGAGTCAGCCCTGACTCATAGCGACCCCTCCTTGGGTTTCCGAGGCAGTATCACTACGGAAGTAGGATTGCCCAACCAACTAGATTTTTTAAAAAAATAAGTAGTTGTTTTATCTTTTTTTTTTTTTAAACTCATATTGATCCTTTCTAGTTCCTTGTACCTTTCTGTTTCTTATTGATTAGAGAGTCATATGAAGGAATCCATTTTGTGGATCCTGTTGCTTTTCATCTTGATGAATGAAATTGTCAGAGGTAGGACCAGTGTTACCCCCCACTGCCCTGGTCAGCAGACTCACAAACACCTCCCTTTGGTCGAGAGCAGAGTTTTGGGAGATTTGGAGTAAATGGCTGCTTGTCAAATATGACCTTAGGGTTGTCAATCTCACTGTTTCCTTTCCCTGCTTACACTTACCCCCAATACCCATATGATACATGGAGATTTCCAAAGTAGAGATTCATACATTTGGTTTAAGGCTTCCACCCTGTTAGAACAGCATGAAATGTCACTATGTTAAACCTTATGAATAATTAGGATAATTTATATTTAATTCATTTTGTTTACAGAGTTTGATAGATAGTGGTTGGAAACAGAGAAAGAGGGAACACACAACTCAGTAACTAGATGCTTTAAAGCAAAGTAGGAAAAAAACAAAAAAACCTGGAATCACTGAAGACAACTTGTATGGAAACTATTATTTTATCTAAGGACAGCCTTGTCATGCTTCCTAGGTGACCAGTTAACACATGGAGGTGAATGATAACCCTTATTGTTCCTGGAATACTGCTTAGAACAGGGATTGGTAAACTATAGCCCATGGGCCAAAACTACCCACCACTTGTGCTTGTAATTAAAATTTTATTGGAACATAATCACTCTCATTCATTTACATAGTGTTTGATTTCTTTCATGCTACGGCAGTAGAGGGAGCTCTGGCAGCATAGTCCCTAAAGCACTTGACTGCTAACCAGAAGGCTGGCGGTTCAAACCCACCAGCCACTCCTCGGAAGGAAGGTTGGGCAATCCTACTTCCGTAGTGATACTGCCTCGGAAACCCAAGGAGGGGTCGCTATGAGTCAGGGCTGACCCCACGGCACATAACAACAACAACAACAACAACGGCAGTAGAGTTGAGTAGTTGCAACAGGTAATGGCCACAGAGCGTAAAAGATTTACTATCTGACTCTTTACATCAAAAGATTGCCAACCCCTGGTCTAGAGAGTCTGGTATTTTCCAAGGTTAAGCATGGATCATAGATGTCTTGAATTTATTTTTGACTGTTTAATTTCTGGTTTTACTGTTTGTGGATTCAAGGGCAGCAATTTGAAGAAGGAAAAGTTAGCTTGTTCAAGAAAAAAGTTCAAAAATATTCTTACAGTAAAGAATGTCACTACTGTATTCTAAACCTAAATAGCTAATGGAAAATTAATCTCTGATTATGCATATAACTGTTCTACCAGCCTTTTTTCATTTTCACATGCTCTCATTTAATTAGATAAGAAAATGTTCTCAGTTTTTCACTGGACATTTTATCTTCTATCATTTTTGAAAACCAAATACTTTATTATTTAAAAATATTGATCTTGAGATTGTACCTCAATTAAGTTTTTTTCTTCCTCTCTCTCAGCTTGAAGTCCATGGCCCAAAATGACTCTGCCAGTGGAAAAGCTCTCTGGTAAAGACAACGACCACACAGGAGGCTGGGATGAGCATGCCACTGCATCAGATCTCTGCCATTCCATCCCAGGATGCCACTATTGCTAGAGTCTACAGAAGTAAGACCAAAGAAAAGGAAAGGGAAGAACAGGTAATGGAGCTTGCTGATTGAATTGCGGGGGGCAGGGAGGAGTCAGGGATGGCTCCCTACTTTCTACCTTATCTTTATAATGTGCTTTACAAGCATTTGCTCATTAGTTCTCATCATAGTCCAGTTTTATAGCTGTCCATGACCGTGAAACACCCTTGTTAAATCCAGAATTAGTTAACCTTGTTTGAATTTAAATCATTCTAGTTGATGGGACAACTTTTTTCCTTATTCTGTAATCATATTGTTTTTTAAAACAAATCTTATCAAAGCTTTTGAAGAACTTGGACTGTAGACATTGAAAGATGCCATATAAATGAAAAGATGTCACTGTATTATTAGTTTTGGGTTTTCTTTTTTTGGTTGCTTGCATTGTCAACCTATACACTTTCTGTTTTACTGTACTCTTGTAAGGGATAGTATGACTTGAATTGGTTGAAATGCCAACTGGGAGTAAGGACAGGATGGATGATGTGTGGATATAGTGCTGTTTTCAGTATTATACTTTTAACTTAACTTGCTGGGGATGGGAGAATATCCCAAAATTTCTTCTCCATGCTCTTTATCTATCCCTTGTTAGCCATTTAGGTTTTTAAATACCACTAAATAGAGTTTCCTTAGTCTAGGGTACTCGCCTATACCAAATGAAGACTGCGGGTTAGTTCCCTATTCATTGTAGTGTCAAATTTGGACAACAGATCATGGGAATTTTTTTGGTATGTATATGGGCAAGTTATATAAACTTGTTTGGAATAGTTATTAGTAAGGCTGGCTAAGAAAGGAAGATGTCCAAAATTTTAGGCTAGAAAGGGAGATTCTTTTTGATACAAAACCCTGCTGCATACTGATAGGTGGGTATTCAGGAAGTGTGTATTGAATTGATCTATTTGATAGAATTCTTATGGTTTAATAGCTTTAAACAGCAGTATTTAGAATTAGAATTTTGATTGATTTTGGGAAGACAGAGACTATCCTGTCCCACCTTAGTGTTAGAAGTACTTTGAATACCTGATGCCACTGTAGCAGTTCCAGGATCATGACACCTAGGTGAGGCTGCAGGTAGAACAAGAGAAGCTTTGGCAGCAGCCAGCACTTGGCTGAATATTGTAGATTTCTGGGTTCTGAAATGTGTTATCAGGATTGGTTTGGAAGGGAAATTTTTGTCCAGTGTAGCCTGTTTTCTTTTATCCAGTTTCCCTGGCACAGCAAGTTTAACCTATATGCTTTTGGTATAATTTCTGATCCTTCTGTGTTTGGAAGAGATGAGAGGAAAGAAATAGAAGTTACCAGAGGCCCCCTCTCCTTTCCATCCCATCATCAACTGTCCAGAACTTGAGGTGCAGTTTTATGTCACAACCTCTGGGATAATACAAGACTGTTCAAATGTATCAATAACAGTTTTATTACTTGTGAATCATGTGAGAAGACAAGAGCATTGCATTTTCCCAGAAAGTCAGCAGCATCAATCCAACCATTAATTTAGGCACAGTTTTACCTATGAATCTCAGGTGCAAATTCCCTTTTTAGTACCTCTTGTGTGAGCCTGTATCTGAGTCTTCTATAGAGAATAATAAATTTTACACAATAGATAGTTAGAGGTGATGAATGAAGGAATTAATTCAGTTTCTGTGACTTAGAAACCACTGTGAAGTGAGAGTGATAATTTAATAATCCATAACATGATTTCTGCTACTGTTACTTATGAGTTGGATACATGTTTCTTGAAGAGAAGCTCCTCTACCTCATTAGGGTTTTTTAAGCATTGATCCATTGCCCTTCATACTCTAGCCTTCATTTAGAAACCTGATGTGGTGGTTATTTGTATTCTTTCAAAAGAAATGTACTCTATAATTCTAGTTTTCATGAAGAATATTTTCTTGAACTATAAGTTCAAGAACTATTGGTAAGTACCTTACTATTCTTAGTGGCTTTCTTTATTTCTTGTGGAAGATTTTTAAGCCTTTTACGGTGCTTTCAGTTCTGCAACCTTTTCTTCTACTTTTAATGTTTAACTCTGTATTCTGGTTCTGTTGAAGGTTGCTGATAGAAATTAAATCTTCATATTTTCATGGCTGTTGTATTTTGTCTCATTCTTCCATTGGTTTATTCTGTATTTGGGTCCTGTGGGATTAGCTTTTTCCACAGTGTCCTATTTTGCTGGCTCAGGACTGCTGATTTTGAGCTCCTGTATCCAAGGAAGTTCTTTATTGATCTGTTGTCACCCTGATTGCTTTTTTTTTTTTTTTTTCAAATTGTGATTTGGGTGAAAGTTTACAGAGCAAATTCAGTTTCCATACAGTAGTTCACACACACGTAGTCTCATGACATTGACTACAATTTACCCCAATGCAACAGCTCCCCTTCCACTTCCTCTTGATACTTACCACTTCCTTCTGTCCATCCCTTCATGCATTTCTGCCCCCTGAACTGTCTCCCTATGCATAAAAAGCCCTTCTTTCTCCCATGATTGTTCTTTCCAAGGAGTGTATCTACCTCAGATAAATATTCAACTCATATGCCTGTATGTTGTTTGGCTGGAAGCCACAGGAGTGGATTCAGTTCCAGACCTGAAGGGCAGCTAGGGGCCATAGTCTCAGGGATTCCACCAGGCTCTGTCAGACCATCAGACCTGGTCACCTTTTTTTTTCCCCAAATGATTTTGAGTTTTGTTCCACAATGTTCTCCCTCTCTATCCAGGATCTCCTAGATCTCCCTCTGAGTGGTTGTTAGTGGTAGCCGGGCACCATGTAGTTCTTCTGGTCTCATAGTCATATAGGCTGAGGAGCGCATGGTGTCCCAGTTGTGAGGCCTAATTGTTTCCATGAATCTTTGATTTTTTTCATTCTTCTTTGCTCTGGATGAAGAAAGACTCATTGTTGCATCTAGATGGCTGCTTGCAAGCTTTTAAGATCCCAGTCACTATTCGCCATAGTAGGAGTTGGAACAGTGTTTTGTGTAGTATGTTATGCCATTTGAGCTTGATGTCCCCTATGACTATGGTCCTGAGCCCACAGGTTCAACTACTTGCTCCCACTGGGTAGCTGGCTGTGACTAAGAAGTGACTACAACCTTGTCTCTTGTCAGCTTTAGCATACCCCTGGCAATTCTTACAGAACATACAAATACACTTGTAGAAACATTGTCTTCCAGCCCTATACTTGGTCTTAAGTACACTTCCTACTACACAGACATATCTAATAATTCAGCCTGTCCATCTGTCTGTCCACCTGTATACCTGTGTATACCTTCACTGACAGCATAGTACTATATGTGTAAAAGGGTTCATCTTTGTTGTTTGCATGTCCCATGTACTTCTCTATGTCTTCAGTTTCCTCAGTGCCACCATATTGATCACTCACATTTGGTACATTGCCCTTCTCTTCACCCAAATCAACACCTGTCTCTACTTATCTAACAGTGTTCCCTCTCCTCCCCTCCCACTCCTGGTAACCAACAAAGAAAATTTCCTTCCATATATAAACCTTTCCTTGACTTTTTACAATAATGGACTAATACAATAATTGTCCTCCTGTGATTGACTTATTTTGCTCAGCATAATGTCCTCCAAGTTCATGCGCGTTATGCAGTGTTTTGCAGATTCTACGTTATTTTTTAGGGTGGCATAGTATTCCATTGTGTGTATGTACCATAGTTTGGTAATCCATTCCTCAGTTGATGGACACCTAGGTTGTTTCCATCTTTTGGCTATTGTAAATAGTGTTGCGATGAACATGGGTGTGCATATATTTGTTCTTGTCATGGCTCTCATTTCTTTAGGATATGTACCTAGTAATGGAATGGCTGGGTCAAATATATCTAATTCCAACTTTTGAAGGAATTGCCATACTGCTTTCCACAATGGTTGTACCATTTTATAGTCTACCAGCAGTGTATGAAAGTCCCAATCTCTCCACATCCTCACCAGCATTTATTTTCTGTCCTGTTGAACTTTGCTACTAGTGCGGGAACAAGATGGTATCTCATTGTTGTTTTGATTTGCATCTGTCTGATAGCTAATGATGGTGAGCATCTCTTCATAAGTTTGCTGGCTGCTTGAATATTGTCCTTGGTGAAGTGTCTATTCATGTCTTCTGCCCATTTTTTTAATTGGATTGTTTGTCTTTTTGTTATTGAGATGTTGGAGTTTTCTATAAATTCTAGCGATAAGTCCCTTGTCAGATATGTCATTACCAAATATTTTTTCCCAATCTGTAGGTTCTCTTTTGACTCTTTTGGAGAAGTCTTTGGAAGCACATAAAAATTTAATTTATAGAATATCCCAATCATCTGATTTTTCTTCTGCTGTTTGTGCATTTTAGGTTCTGCTTGATAGTCTATTCATGCTATATATTAGGGCCCCTAAATTTATCCCTAGTTTTTTCTTGAGGAACTTTATAGTTTTAGTTCTCACATTTAAGTCTTAGATCGATCTGGGGTTTGTTTTTGTGTATGGTGTGAGGTACAGATCTTGTTTCATTTTTCTGCAATTAGATACCCAGCTTTGCCAGCACCATTTGTTAAACAATCTCTTCCCCATTTAATGGATTTCGGCTCTTTGTCAGAGATCAGCTGGACCATAGGTCGATGGATCTATATCTGGTTTTCAGTTCTATTCCATTTGTCTGTGTGTCTGTCATTGTACCCATACCAGGCAGTTTTGACTACTTTGGCTATATAGTAGGTTTTGAGATCCAGCAGTGTGAGACCTCCTACTTTGTTCTTTTTCAATAGTGCTTTGCTTATCCGAGGTCTCTTTCCTTTCCATATAAAGTTAGTGATTGGTTTTTCCATATCCTTAAAAAATGTGGATGGAATCTGGATTGGGACTACATTGAATGTATAGATTGCTTTGGGTAGAAGTGACATTTCCACAATGTTCAGTCTTCTTATCCACGAGCATGGTATGTTCTTCCATTTATATGTATCTCTTATGGTTTCTTGAAGTAGTTTTTTGTAGTTTTCTCTATTTAGGTCTCTTGTAGTCCCTGGTAAGATTTATTCCC